TGCCCCCAATATTGTGCAAGGTGCTGACAGGCCTCATGCGGGTCAGCGATATGGCGCCCAGTCGGGTCTGCGACCGCTGAAAGGCAGATCACCCTGCCAGAAGCTCCCCATGCCGCAGCATACTGAGTGAGACGGTGCAGCTGCGGCTTCTGAAAGTCCTCGGGCATGTCAGATTCTTCGAGCTCTGCTGTACGCTGCCGGAGAGACTGCCGACTAAGCTCGGCGAGATGTCGATGAAAAGCATGCAAATCGGTCCACATACAATTGTCAGGGACACAGTCTCGGGTATGACGTGCTTGCTCTCCTTACAGTGGCAGCAGACCCAGCACCAAGAGCTCGCATGGCCGCAAGAGACCATCCGATAAATTCTGGCACAGCGCTGGCTCCCCGTACCTCCAACCTCTGCTTGAGGTTTGACATCGTAGCGCGCAGCATGTCTTTGAGCTCTCCTAACGCTTCCCAGGCATCATCATGAAAGGGTCCATGGGCCTCCAGACACTCAGCGAACACCACGGGGAACCCGAGGCGCTTGGCAATCCAGGAAGGGATCTTCGGGGCAGCAGGAGGGCCTCGGGGGCGCAACACCAGACAAACAGGTACATGATCAGATGGTTCTTTCCAGTCAAAAGGGGCTTCCCATAATGAGGCCGCTCGGAGCACAATCCAGGAGCTTGGCAGTATAGGCATCGATGTATATCCTATCCAGACGACCTGCCGAAATGATCTGCTCGCCACGTACAACTCTATGAGTGGTAAGTGGTTGTTCAACTTCAGCAAAGCCAGGGAAGACCCGCGAAAACTCGGCCCCAAGGTTCCTGGAGGGGTACCTCGTTTGCCCCGACATCAGAAGGCTTCCTTCACCCAAGGCAGGAAAATTCCAATCACCACAGAGAATCGTTACAGCTTGGTCCTGTGGAGGCACATGCCTCGCAAGAAGCCACAAGAGTTGTTTCTGACGAGCGACACTCAGGCTTGGATCCACATGTGCATTCACAATAGCAAACGAGCCGCGCTGTCCACGCAGCAGGAGAAGATGCACGCGTCCACGTGCGAGTACTGTATGAGACACACTACCAAACTGCTGCCGAGAATGAGTAGAGAAGAATAATGCACCCACCAGCTGGGATATGAGACAGGGGAAAGAAAGTTCCATACCCCTCCGCTCCCAAGACGTCCTTACAAGTCGTTTCCAATTCGAATCTAGAGCCACGGGACTCCTGAATACACACTACACGATGCTGAGCAATAAGTCGACGAAGCTTCTCATGCTTAGCCCGAAGAGTAGCAGGATTAGACCAATTACTTCCGAAGAGAGAGCACGCATTCCAAGCCACTATGGAGAATTTGGTTTC